GCATTTTAGTAACAGCTAAAGGTGACATAGATACTTTATTATGGTATAGTATTTAAATAAATGCCTGAGAAACACATATTATTGGCCCTTTAAAATAATAAAGCACAAATAATGTGTGTAATTAAATGCCAAATGCTTTATTACATCAGTAGTCTCCATGTGACTGACCCATWTTTCGTCGCAACGTTTATAGCTCATAACATCAGTGGAGGGATTTCTTTGATTAAGCCTGGGTAATGGACAAGACAGAAATGCATTGTAAAGCATTATCATGCTGGCTTCTAATTGCCTGATGACTTTAATTAAACTTCAGGCTCTTATTCTTGACTAATCGCACAGCCTCCCAGCGSCCGGCCTTCTTTTTGAACGGCGCCCGCATGACTTTGCGCAGACGTCAGCATTCTGTTAATAACGAGCTGCTTCAAAAAAAAAAAAAACGGCTCCGAACTCGTGCTCGAGCCCAGCTGAGATCCGGTGTAGTCAAGTGAGACGATTCATCAGCGCTACAATTACAATTTGTCACTGAGCAGTTACCATGAAGTATAAATCGATGAGCTTTTACATAGTAGCCAAATGCATCTCATCTCTCTTATCAATTATCAATTTATTGCACATCATCAACACAGCATTAGAGCTTCTGTAGCATATGCAGAGATATAAAAGAAGGAAAAAAAACTAGACAGAATGTAAAAGCCTTTTGTTCTGTGCACCACCAACGGGCAGTGTTTCACTACACGCTAATGAGACTATATATGCATGCTCTATATTTCACTTTAATGATTCAGATAAATATTTCTCCCTGCAGTAGCAGAGAAGGCACTCTGAGGAGGTGCTTTTATTTCAAGAGGTCCAGAAGTTAATGTTGTCCTTGTATATTTTCTAACCTTTAAAATGATGCCAGCTTTGCACACAAATGCTTTTGATCTGCTTGTAACCTTTAGAAAATTGCAGACTATGGGGCGAAATAAGAAAATTGCTCAGCAAATATAGTGCAGATGTCATAATAAGTTGGTAGTGGARCAAAAAACACAAGATACTTGAAATGGTAAAGCTTTATTTACCATTGTTACTGGGTTATTCAGCTTTATCTATGTGTTTTTCCTAATGTAGGTTCAACAAGTGTAGAAGTGTGTTATCATATAGAGACCTCAACGTTGTGAAATATCATATACACTCACCGGCCACTTTATTAGGTACACCACGCTAGTAACGGGTTGGACCCCTTTTGCCTTCAGA